GTTTAGTGGTTTTGCATTCGGAGTTAAATCTTACCATTTTGACTATAAGGGGAAGCATATTTCTGGGTAATCAGTCTTATTCCCTGACACAGGAAACTTGGAAAGTGCAGATTTGAATTAAATTGAATTTAATCTTCCTTAAATACATATTGTAGTTGAAATCAGGTTAACAGGTGTTATCTAGTAAAGAGTTCCTTGGTGAGAATGAGCTAAGAATGACTGTAATTAGTAACTGTTTATCATTGTCAGTTTAAATCCCTGGGTATTCCTAAAGTACTTAGAGGCGCTTAAAAACTGTTTGTCCTCTTAAGTGGCTTTCAAAACATTTTCTCTAGAATCTTGTTGACACAGTTAATTAACAGTTAGAACAATAGACACAAACGCTTTCTTCCCAAGTTGTGCTGGGGTGAACCTCAGTCACGGCATAATTATTTCCATAATTCTGATAAGTGGAATGCAGATGAACAAGTATTGTGCACCGTCTTAGCTTTGGCTCGTGATGAGCTGAGAAAACATTTACCACGGCGTCTCCTCCACCCTCCAACCCTGCTCTACCTGATGGTGTTTTGTTCAAAATGTTTCAGATTTCTCATTTTGTTTTTAATGAAACTGCTTTTACTTGTAACACCTCTGATACGGCACTATCAATCCTGAAATGGGCCATTAGCTAGGGAATTATATGTTTTGTGGCCACTGTTTCTGAAAAAAGAAGTCAGTATGAGAGAGCTATGGGCAGGCTGAAGATGTTAGTTATCTGAGTGGAACCAGCTGTAAATGTCACGAGATCCGTACCTTTTGTTCTCAGGCCCTCAAACGTGCATGGAGGTGTGTGGAGGTTTGTTTGTGAGAGTTTGTTTAAATACACCGAAGGGAAGGAGAAAAAGTGGAGAAAAGGGCGATTTTAGGTGAACTGTGGAGCATTTGAAAGAAAGTGTGGCTCTGGGAATCTTCAAGAAATCTCCAGGGCTGTGGCCTGCCCGTTTCTCTCCGGGCAGAATTTCACGCTTGTCTCTTTTCTGGATGTGAGTCAGGTGCGCTAGGATCGGGGAGGGTCTGACAGACACCTTTGCCGCTTGGCCGCCAATACATCTGGAGCCTGTGCCAGCCCCCTGGGGACACTGAGCTGGGCTGCAGCGTGGTTCTCTCTGTCGGCAGGGCCCTGGGGAGGAAGGAGGCCCTTCTCACCACCCGAAACGAACAGCAGATGGTAACGATGTGACTGTGACCCTTGAGTAAAAGCTGGCAAAAAAAAAAAAAAAGGGAAAATGATAGTTGTAAGATTAAAGGTGGGTTTGAGTTCCCTGACTTTTCTTCACTACCAAATGCGCCCCATGCAGGGAGGTACTCAGAGAAGGGTCCTCAGCTGTGGTGTCCAGTCAGCCCTGCGACATCAGCATCGTCTGGGCACTTGATTCTCGCCAGAATCTGCATTCTCTGGCCCTCCCCAGACCTGCCGCATCAGAGTCCCTGCCTCTGAGATCCGCGTTTGACAAATCCTACAGGGGATTCTGCTATGGCGGAAGTGTGAGAACCACTGGTTCAGAAGCGTATTAAAATCCAGGTCTGAGTGTTCCTGTGTTACACACTAGTGGTGGGATCTTAGTATCCAAATCTATAAGGTGGAGATATTACCTATCATTCATTCATTCAACAAACATGTGCTGCGCGCTCCGTGCTGGGGATACAATACCAGAAAGGACCCGACATCAGAGAGCTCAGAGTCAGAGGCGGGAGACAGACATTGAAGAAATGATCCCGCAATGCGTAATGACCAACTGCAGGAAGTGTTCTGCAGGGAAGAATCCTACGCTCTGAGAGTTTGGGACAGGCACACCCAACCTAGTGTGGGGCTTTGGAAAAGCTTCCCTGGGACAGTGATGTTTCGGTGTCAGCTGAAGAATGAGAAGATGCTAGGGGAAGGGGGAGGTGTGGGAGGGGGAGGTGCAGGAGGGGTGAGTGGAGCAGGCCACAGGACGACTGTATGCGAAGGCCCTCGAACAAGTGGGTGCTGAGAGCCCTACCTGGCTGAGGAAACAGTAGCCCCCAAATTTGTCTGCACCCTGGAATCGCCTGGGGAGCCTGAAAAAATGCTGATGCCTGGGGTCACACCCCTAGAAATTGCGATTTCGTTCACTTTATAATGATCCTGGGTGACTCTAATGCAAACCAAGTTTGGGAAGCACGGAACTGGAAGGAGGTCAGAGTGCACGGAGCCTAGAACAGGACACGGGTGGGGCCAGGCCTGCCCAACCACGGGGTCAGGCAAAGGGTCCAGGTCTTTCTCCTAAATGTGGGGAATGCCCTTGCAGGGCTGAGAGCAGGGGGCTGGACTGACAAGATCTGAACTGTGGGAAGACCACCCTGTTGGGTGGGTAGGAAGTGGGCTGGTGGAGGTGGAGGTGATAAAGACAGATTTGAGATACTTGGAAGGGCTCAGCACAGAAGACCAAGGAGATGGGAATTCTCTATGAACCCTTGATTTCTGACTTGTAGATGTGCAAAGATTGGAAGAGGACCAGTTGGGGGCAATCATGACTCTGGCTGGGATGAATTGAGTTGACTGCAAATGACAGGAACCACCATGAGCAGTAGCGGGCTGGGGTAGCTGGTCTAGTGTTAGGAGCCAGGACCCTCAACACCCCTATGACTTGTCCTACACATGGGCCTCACCCTGAAAAATTCCTAGAACAAAAACAGCACCCCACCCTCCAGCTATAGCTCCGAAAAGAATGCGTTCATGACCTGCTGACTGCGAAATGCTCCAGGGTGTGCTAACTGCAATTGTTCCCGACCACCTGCCAGGTTGGGGTTGAGTAATCAGTCACAAACAGCCTTGATACTTGACGCTGGTTGGGGCTAATTAGCCCAAACCCAAGCCTCATCGTCACCCCACTCTATTTTTCTGTTTCTACTTCCTTGTTTCTGTATGCTTATAAAACCTACTAAAAATCCAAGTAAAGCAGACCTTGACAACCATTTGCTTGGTTTCGTTCCTTTCTCTCGCCCATCTCTTTCAGGCATGGTTCCTTGACCCCCACGAGTAACAGAAGGTTCCGCGGGTCGGGACAGTCTAGGGCTGGAATGGCGGCTCCAAGACGCCTTTAAAAATGGAAGCTCTTTGTGCCTGTCCTCTCTGCCACCTTTGTGCTTATGCTTTTGACTTTGCAGTCGCAGGGGCTGGTGCACTTCTGACTTGCCACCCTCATTGCAGCAGGAAGAGGAAAGTCAGGGTGTGTGTAGGAAGCAGGAGCCTGGGTCAGGAAAGCACAAGTGCTCCCCAAGCCCTCAGCTCATGTCTCCTTGGCCATAACTGTGTAGGAGGCCACCCCTTCCGGAAAGGCAATGTGGGGAGCTCACTGCACCCCAGACAAAACCAAGGCTCTATTCATAAGGGGTAAAGGGGAGTGGATGGTGGGTACCCAGAATAGTCTGTGTCCCTAAGGTACCTTTGATCCAGCTGAGATGAAGTGTTGTCTAGGTGGTCGAGTGTATACGCATTTGTAGCTCAGAGATGGGGTAAGGGATGGAGCATTTATCGCCGTGATTATAGGTATAGTATTAGGGTCCTTTCGAGTGAAAAAGCAATGCTTTGTGGGTGGAAGTGGCATCCAACCTCAACCCTCAGACTCTCGGAGTTCTGACTCTCTGGCCCGTGCCCCTCCTACCTGGAATCTGTCAGCTTAGTGAGGAACACAACTCCCTAGCAACACTTCTTTGCTGTGTCCTTCCTTCTGCCCCTAATTTCTTCACTTGGGTCCTGGCTGGTGTCTCACCACCCACCCTCTCTAGGGAGCAAGCCCGTGTTACTACAGATTTCTCCCCGGGCCTACGCTCCAGGCATCTGCTGGCCAATGCCTGGTGTGGGTGAGAGCGGTACGGTTTTGTTGCAAGTCTGACCCATTGAGAGGGGCCACCTGGGTGCAGGCTGCTGGCAGCCCCTCTGGTGAGGCTGCTGGGGTGTCCTGGGTCTGCCAGGCCTGCTGATGGAGACTTGTCTGCAGCTTTCTAATCGCCAGCCCTTCCCATCATTAGGAGGGACAGTAAGTCAGGCTGGCTGATGGCCAAGGAGATGTTGGCATCTCCTTGCTGCAGAGGACTGGGCCCTGCTCTCTGCAAGTTGTCAATCTCGTCCTGCCCTTGGAGCACAGAACCGATGATCAAAACTAGAACCAAACACCAACAGACAAAGACAACGGCCTCGTAAGTTGAGCTGAGAAACAATGCCCGGAAGATGGAGGGCTGGCAGGCCGGGCTCACAGAGGATACCTTTGTCCACCTGGGGCTTCAGCGCTTTAGGGGTCCACAAAAGAAGAGCTTGCTTTCTAAGCATCAGGCTCTGAATAGGTCTCAAAAATTGGAGAGGAATTTCTCTGGCTGTAATTGGTCTCTGCTGTTCGCTGAGTCGGGGTCGTAAGGCCCTAAAGAATTTCAGGCTGACGTGTCTGACATGTCCTGGGTTTGAGCCAAGTTTGGGCACACCAGGCAGTTCCTTGGGGCCACAGGCCTCCAGGGCAGGGGACGCTGCCCTTGGCCTGTTGTGTCGAGCCTGAGGCCAGCCCCTGTGCGGTGGTCTCCTGGTACCCCGTCCCCTCCTACTGCCAGGGTGTCAGCCTGTCTGCAGGTCTAGTTCTCCGCTCTCTCCCCTCCCTTCTCCATTGCTTGGTAAGAACCTGCTGAGTAGCCTGGACCTAATTGTGTGCGCCAGTCCGTCTCTGGGGGACCAAAAGACTGAGCATTTTGCAGCCACCGGGGATTACAACAATGATGGTGTCAGGTCCTTGAGGGCATCTCCGAACACCCCCTTCATTCTTGACTTATGAAATGTCCCCTGGCAAATGCTTTTTCTCTGTCTTTTGTCAGACAGTCTGAGCAGTCCACCCCCACCCCTCCTGTCTCCCGTCCCAGCGCTACTCTGGGAGATCTGTGAGGGACGGGGTTTGGGGGTGGGGGTGTCTCTCAGTATCTCTTTTCTAGGTTTCACAATGGAGTCTTTATTCCAGGCAATTTATTTCCAACGTTGATATAAATACCACAAGTTGAGATGATTACAATATCTGATTTTGCAAGAGCATCTCAGCCAGGCCCAGGGAGTGGCTAGAAGTTTCTGGATGGAAGCACGAGAATTCAGAACTGACGTATTCCATCCGTGACGTTTTCTCATATGGGGAAACAGAGGCACAGAAAGGGGAGGTGAGTGACCTGAGACGGCACAGCCGGGTGACAGAGCCTCTTCTGGGCCCTGCAGCCCATTCCCTCTCCCACGCCCCAAGCACCTGCTACTGGGACCCACACGGGTCTGAGTGTGTTCTTGTCAGTGGCTCTGACAAGGTGTTCTTGGCTTCTGTGTGGTGTTCCTTCTGAGTCGGGACAGCGGGGGTCCCAGGACCCGGCCTGTCGTAGAGGAGAAGTTAGGGTCCCAGGGAATTGAGGGAGGTTTGTCTCGTTTTCGAAAGGCCGACCAACGGGAAGAACCACAGAAAGCACTTGCCCACTTTCCTGTTTACCTCACACCAGACGTGGGCGCCGGCACCCCGTGCTCTGGTCAGACGGGGACCAGTGAGCTGACGGAGGAACCACCTCCCCCCTCGGCTTCCCTGCGCCAGGCTGAGCCTCGCAATGCTGCCCTGCCCCGAAATTCGGAAGAACGGCAGGAACGATGACAGGACAGCCAAAGCCGACACGGAGCCGAAGGGAGAGTCCTCGGAAGCAAGCTATAATTACCTAGATTAGACTCTGAGGGGACTGGAGTTCTGTGACCCGTTGTTCTCTGAGGCAGAAAGGAGTGTCGCCGATGTCTCTCTCTGGGGGAAGGTGTGCCTGGCACCACCGAAGTGCCTCGTGGCGAATTTCCATGTGAGAGAAATGGCGTCCTTTGCCAACGCCTACTCAGGGAGTTGGTTCCCTGCATCTCAGGATGGTGCCAGTTGACAGGGCTTCTAGAAACTTCTGAAATTTTCCATGTTCGTGAAGAAAATGTTTAGGCTTTTCCCTTCATTACATTCCCATTAAGAAGCAAGGAGTTCCTGCGTGGTCTTAAGCCTCAAATTAATCACTCTTTCACCTATCCCACCAGTTTTTGGTTTTTTTTTTTTCTTTCAATTAGTGACAAATTTCCACAAAGTGATTTTTCTTCCCAGGAGCTCCTGTTGCCTCGGGACTGCAGGGGGACCCGGGAGGCTGAGGGCAGCCGGGTGGCCTCACCAGGTAAGTGACCCCCTCCTGCTCCGGAGCCTCCCGGGGGCTCCCCCGACACCTGGGCCAAATTACAAATACCAACCTAAAACAGGGGCTGGATTTGGGGCTTTGTGGTCAGGCAGACTGTGCTTAAATCTAGGCTTCGCCACTGGGTCATTGTATGGCTGCGTGCGAGCGACCTAACCAACGCCATCCCTGGCGGCACAGAGAACTTGCCCGAACGCTGTGCTTAGAGGTTCGGCCAAACTCCAGCCTGGCTTCCCCCTGCACTGGCTGTGAGTCTAAGGGTGACACCAGGCCCATGCTGAGATTTTGCTCCAAAAAGTGCAATGCTGCCAAACTGTAATATGTATTTTGTCTAAACCTGCCAAACAATTTTTAGTAATTTTCCACTCACCCCCTTTCTGTAACTTTCCATTTCCCCACGGCCCCTCTGGTCTCTTTTTTCCTTCACTCCCCCTAACTAGTTCTGTCCTCTGTGTACTCCCCCTTTCCAAACCTCAGTCACCTGTGTCCTGGTGGAGTTGAGCTCAGGTGAGATCGGAGTCTCTCTCTCTCTCCTATGCCAGGAGTCGGATCAAAATCTGTCCTGCTGCTTCTAACACGTGTCCTGCGCCGTTTTGTTTTGATGAAGGCTCAGCTTCCTGACCTGTAAAATGGACCTATGAGCTCCCCTTCTTCTCACTACGTTCTCCTTGCTGATTGTGACTGCAGTAACAGTGACATGCCACGGGCCACTAGCATTTGCCTCCCAAAGTGGAGACCACGTTGGCTACGTGGCTAAGTATCAATGCTGAACTGAGTGGGAAAAACACCCCAAATACTAAAAAAAAAAATCAAAAGCTACGGTTGAAAGCATCTTCATGTTTGCCAACTAAAGAAGTGGGGCAAGAGCATCTCGGAAGCGTGAGAAGCACACGCAAGGCCGAGCTGTGGACAGAGGTGGGGGCTTGTGTCACAGAGCAGAGGCAGGGACGGCAGCGACTGGGTTGTGAACCATGGCGAGCAGCGCTGACCTCACCCTTAGGCCAGCAGGGGAGCTGAAGCCACGAGGCGAGTTTTGGTCACGAGGATGGGCACTCGCAGTGGTGCAGGCTGGAGTGGGGGGAACGGTGGTGGTGCTGATGGGAAGATCCAAGACATGGAGTAGAAGACAGATGAATTTGCTTATATCAAAATTAAGGATGTCTGGTCCAGTCACTGTGGACGGAGTTTATATTCGATGACAGAATGGAAGAAAATGTATCTGGGCTATTCAAGGAAATCCTCAAATCCACAGGAAAAAAGATTGCAACTCCTAACAAAATGGGAAAAAGATAGGATCAGGCTGTTTTTAGAAGGTTGTCCCCACCCCAAATAATACACTCACCAAGAGATGCTTAATCTCACTAGTAACCAGAAAATTAAATGACACTTTGCATCTATGAGACTATGTTTTTATTAGAAAGCTGGATAATGCCAGGAGTGGCGGGGCTGGGAGACAGGATCCTGTGCGTGCGGATGCAGGGAGACTGGGTTGGAGAGGGAGCCAGCGGAACGCTGCAGACCTGCGGAGCTGGCAGAACCCAGGTACTCGAACAGCAGCGTTCACTGCAGGGCTTTGTGTAGAGGTAGGGGTTGTCCAGTCTGCAGGCGAGGCTGCCAAAACTCCGGGGATGCACATGAAGTATAACGCCTCAGTTAGAGGAAACAGATCATATCATCAACAGCAACATGGCCGGATCTTAGGAACACAGTGATAGGGCTCTAGGAGCAAAATGAATCATAATGCCATTTATGTAAATTAGAATTGCACCCACGTAAACATATAAGCTTTTAAGGCATGTGCAAAACCAGCTCTGTGTTACCCAGAGTGAAAGGGTTGCCCCTAGGAAGAGAAGAGGGGAAAGAGAGGGAGCACTGGAACTAAAAGGGAAGAAATAAGTACTAAGGGTGGAACCTTGCCTGGTTATATGTTGTGGACTGAGGAATATGAGGATTTCAACCCTCGGCAGCTGAAGTGAAAATAAACAAGCAAAAAAACCCCCCAAAAAAGCCACCATTTTTGAGGAAAAGGATGATCTTTGTATATGCACTTAATTGGGGTCTGGCAGGATGCCACACATGCTTAAATAATTAAGGATTTTATTAATAGTCCCCCATAATGTTTATAGTATTTTCAAAGCTCCTTCCCATAGGTGGACCCATTTGAATGTTTCTATAACTACATAAATGAGTTAGTGGGATATTTCTAGAAAATGAGGAAACTGAGCCCAGATGGGTAAAGAGACTTGCCTAGAGTCACCGTGACTGAGACCTGGGACCCTAGACTCTTATCCAGGGTCTCAGGTCCCCAGGGAGTGTCACCACATTAAATGGGAAATCATTGCTCCTTTCAGGAAACTGAAATGAAAAATCTCATTTGTCTTGGATTTTTTCCACACGTGCTTTTCTGCTTTCACTGCTTTTGTTCTGTGTAGATTTTGTTTTTGTCATTCTTGTTGGGGGAGAAATTTTGCTATTTGCCACAGATCATAAGTCAGTGGTTGTTAACTCAACATGTTATAATGGGTTTAACAGAACTCCTAGGAACTATTTTTAATTTAGAACTATCTTTACATATATATATATATATATAAAATTTCAAAAATAACTTGTGCTCCAGTGAAACTCTTTTATCCTACCATCCAGAGATAATCACTAGAAGGAGTTTGTCTTATATCCTGCTAGATGTTTTCCCTCCAAGAAACCAAAATTTGGATTTTCTTCTGCAGTGAGAAAAAGAAGTAAAATCTGTAAGTGGGCTAGAGTCTTGGTGATCACAATGCTGAGAAGATGGGTCTGGTTTAGCCAAGCTGGAAGATATGCTTCCTGAGAATAGAGATTCAGAAATAGCTGACTTTGCCTTCACAAAGCAACTTTACAATTTTAGATGCAGCTGGGCTCTACGGGCAGGAAGCTGGATTCCCTGGAGGGGAAGGGCCCTCAATATTTTAGACACATGTGAAGTCAGAACAGCGGGGCGGGCGGTACGCTGGCTTGAAGAGAATTCCAGTCACAAATTTAGCTCAGCTTCTAAGAAACATTCCCATCCAAGAGAGATCCCTGGTTGCTGTGGAACTGGCTTCCCTGGGGGATTTCCCTTGTGGAGTTAACTAGGAACAGTTGTTTCTAGGTATTGGGACAACAGATTTGCTTAAGATCTCCTCTATTTTGACAATTTGATGATGGGCGGCATTGTGGACATCCGTTGGTTTTGGACTTTGCCTGCCAGGCATCCACACTCTATTTTTTTTTCTGGCATCTATACTCAATTTTTCTTGTGGTTTAGCACTTACACTGGGTTGAAGAGTGTCCCTCTAAAATTCATGTCTTGCCCAGAAGCTCAGAATGTGACTTTATTTGGAAACAGAGTCTTTGTAGATGTAATTAGTCAGGGTGAGATCATACTGGGTTAGGGCAGGTCCTAAATCCAATGACTGGTGTCATTATAAGAAGACCATGTGAAGAAGACACAGAGACACACACGGAGGAGAAAACGAGGCGGAGGTTGGAGTGATACAGCTGCAGGTGAGAGAACCCCGGGACCCATCGGCTGCTGCCAGAGCTAGGAGACAGGTCTGGAATGGAGTCTCCCTCGGAACCTCCAGAAGGAAGCGGCTCTTCTCACACCTAGTTTTTGGACTTCTGGCCTCCAGAGCTGTGACATAAATGTCTGTTGTTTACGCCACCCACTTCGTGGTACTTTATTATGACACAGCCCCAGCAGACTAACGAAGCTCCCTTTGACCCTGCGTCCAGGGTTGACATGTCACCCAGGGCTGAGCATGTCACCCAGGACAGGCACATCACTCTACCTGGGCCAATAATAATTAGCCCTGGGACTTCTTTTGGGCGGTTCGGGAAAGAGGATGTCTTTTTGTGCCAGGTCTGCCCACCCGGAGCTGCTGGAGGTCATCTTTGTCACCACACCCAGAGAGCCTGCCCAAGAATGACGCTGATGCTGAGGAAGGCAGAACAAAGAGGTAGAGAGTGTCACACTCCTGACAATATCACTTAGGTACCTAGATCCAGCTATGCCTGAAGCCCAGTGGACTTTCCAGTGAAGAGGGCCAACCTTTTAAGTGTGAGTTGGGGTTTCTGTCACTCATGTCCAAAAGATCCTGACGAATAAGTGTGACGAATAAGAGACAAACATTCATGCTCACGGTCATCGAATGATTCTCCTCAGAAGCTCCTTTTGGGTTGTAGTTGCATTTTCTCTGCAAAGAGTAAAAAAAATGGAAAACTAAGAGAAAAAATAAAAAGGAAACAAACATAGGAGAATGGAAACAAACACTTGAGTGCCTGCATATGCTAAGTCCTGTGCTAAGCAGTTGACTTTAAAGAACTTCCGTCCCTCCTTCCCACAGAAGCTTTATGCATCGTGTTGTCCATGAGCTACAGCGCAGTGGCTTGAGACTCCGAGGGCCGTCAGTCTGTCTGATTGGCAATCCCATGCTGCCACATCACCTT